TCCTGGATTACTCTGGTGGACCCAGTGCAGTCACAAGGGTCCTTATAAGAGGTAGGCAGGAGGATTGGAGTTGGAGAGGAGATAAGATGACAGAAACAGAGAGGAGAGGGAGAGGAGAGGAGAGAGAGGGAGGAGAGAAAGGGAGAAGGGAAGGAGGGAGGGGAGAGAGAGAGAGACTATTTATCTGGTTTTGAGTATGGAAAAGGGAGCCATGTCCCAAGAACTGCAGGCATCCCCTAGAAGCTGGAAAAGGAAGGAAATGGATTCTCCCCAGAGCCTCCAGAAGGAACTAGCCCTGCTGACACCTTGATTTGAGGACTTCTGACCTCCATAAATAACTGTGTCCTTTTAAGCTTGTGGAAATTTGTTACAGCAGCAATAGGACATGGATAGAGAGGCCAACCTTAAACTTCTTTCCAGGGTTCTCTGGCCCCAGGGATCCTTCCTGGTCCCTGAAATTCCTGGGGCTAGTATGAGCCACAGGGTCCTTGCACTCAGCATGTGCTAGCCAAGCCCTTGGGGCAGGAGAAGGTCACTGCCGGGGGCCCGAAACTGGCTGAGGGGTGTGGTCTCCCAGAAGCACCCTCCTGTCTCTCAGAGGGCAGAATCTCCAAGAACACCCTGGGTGAAGGAAGCCGGGCCTTAGACAGTGGGTCTGGGCCACTCAGGCCGTGGGGGTTCTCAATCCGGCAAAATTATCTAAACATAAATAAACAAACCCCCAACCAAAAAAACCTCAAAGGAACCTAACATAGGTGGCCAGTGTTGTATCTTACCAAGTAGAACGGTGAGAAAAAAAAAAAATCAACTTTCTGGTCGGGCGTGGTGGCTTGCACCTATAATCCCAGCACTTTGGGAGGCCAAGTCAGAAGGATCATTTGAGCCCAGGAGTTTGAGACCAGCCTGGGCAACATAGCGAAACCTCATCTCTGCAGAAAATTTTAAAATTAACCTGGTGTGGTGGCATGCACCCGAAGTCCCAGCTATGCAGGAGGCTGAAGAGGAAGGATCGCCAGAGCCCAGGAAGTGGAGGCTGCAGTGAGCTGTGATTGTGCCACTGCACTCCAGCCTGGGTGAAAGAGTGAGACCTTGACTGGAAAAAAAAAAAAAGTCTTTACCAATGCCTTTGCCATTGACCCAGCAATTCTCCTATAAGAATGTACCCTAAGGAAACAATTGAACTGGAGCCTAAAAGCTGTGAATAGCGAATATGTTTCTAATAACATTGCTCATTATGAAAATTGGAAACAAAACAATATGGCATCAGGCAAGACCATTATTAGACATTTGTACAAAAGCGATACTTTGTAACTATTAAAAATGATGTTGGACTAAGTATTTAACCTTCTGGAAAGTCACACACTGTGTTGTTCAGTGAAAAGAATCAGGTTAGAAAGAGTATGGTATTTATACTTCCATAAACATTCCGCTTCAAATAATATGTATTTTTGTTAGATGTATTTATACGTTTACATACAGGAATGTAATTTTCTTTGACTCAGGGTCTCACACTGTTGCCCAGGCTGGAGTGCAGTGGCATAGTCGTGGCTCCACATAGCCTCGACCTCCTGGGATCAGGCAATCCTCCCACCTCAGCCTCTCGAGTAGCTGGAACTACAGGCACGCACCACCACACGAGGCTAATTTTAAAATTTTTTGTAGAGACGAGATCTTGCTATGTTGCCCAAGGCTGGTCTTGAACTCCTGGGCTCAAGTGATCCTCCTGCTTCAGCCTCCCAAAGTGCTAGGATTATAGGTGTGAGCCACAGTGCCACAGTCTTTTCTTTCTAAGAAGGACCAAAATCTGCTGACTGGTTGCTGAGTATGGAAGTGATTTTAGGGTGACTAGAGTTTAGAATCCCTAAAAATAGTCCATTATTAGAGCTTACCAAGGGCTCAGAAATCTGATGTCCACACAGCCTTATAAAATCCCTAGTGTGCACATGCCTTGAAATTCTAGTCCTGCTTTGGAGAACTGATAGTGTTGTCTAAGGATTTCCATAACTGCTGTTAAAAAAAAAAAAGGCCGGGCGTGATGGCTCACGCCTTAATCCCAGCACTTTGGGAGGCAGAGGCGAGAGGATTATCTGAGCTTGAGGGTTGGAGACCAGCCTGGGCAACATGGCAAGACCTCGTCTCTACAATAAATAAAAAAAGAATTAGTGTGGTGGTGCATACCTGTAGCTCTAACTACTTGGAAGACTGAGGCAGAAAGATCATCGGAGCCCAGGAGGTCAACGCTGGAATGGCCGTGAGTGTGCCACTGCAATCCAGCCTGGGCAACAAAGTGAGACTCCGACTCAAAAAAAAAGAAAGAAAGAAACGTAACTTTTTATTGACTCGCCTTTCAAATATACAAGGGGGACCCTATAACCAGAAATTGATTTTTAAAAAATTATGTATTGATTCTTACATATTTAGACTTCAGTCACCTTCAAAGTCCTCTTCGTTTGATGCAACACACCCATCAAGACGCTTTTTCCACTGCTTGAGACAGGTTTTGAACGCGTCCATTTGGATGTCTTTCAGTGCTTCCGCCGTTTTTTGTTTCACTTCTTCCACAAAACGTTTCCCTTTGAGGACTTTTTCATCTAGAAAACAACAAAAAAAAAGTCACTTGGGGTGAGATCGGGTGAATAGGGAGCGTGGGGCACGGGGGTCATATCATTTTTGGTCAAAAATCACTGAACACTCAGCGTGGTGTGGGCAGGTGCATTGTCATGGTGGAAGAACCAGTCACCTGTTTGCCACAAAAAAAATTCACAGAAGCCAGATGCAATCTCTCACAACAACGCTAGCTGGTCCACTGATGCTGATGGGCTCCTCAAACACTTACCTAGCGAGGAGGCCTGTACTAAAGGGACCCACCCTCCAAAAGATAATTCCGGGTTTTTTTGGGTTTCCCCTTATATACAAAGTAGAAGAGTACAATTAAGCTGGGCATGGTAGCTCATGCCTGTAATCCCAGCACTTGGGCAGGCTGAGGTGGGAGGACTGCTTCAGCCCAGGAGTTCAAGACCAGTCTTTACAGAAAAACAAAAAACATTAGCCGGCCATGGTGACATGTACCTATAGTCCCTGCTACTTGGGAGGCTGAGGTGGAGGATCGCCTGAGCCTAGGCGGTTGAGGCTGCATTGAGCTGTGGTCGTGCCACTGGACTCCAGGTGGCAGAGTGAGACTCGGACTAAAAAAATCAATCAATCAATACAATAAAATAGAGTATAACGAACCCCCATAATCACCCAATATTAAAGAACCCCTGTGTCGTGTGTTTTGTCTATACTCCCTTCCACCCCCCCCCACTCAGTGATGATCATTTTTTCTAGTTCTTTCCTGAAGTGGTAAATTTACATCCATTGAATCACATGGGTCTTAACTGTGCGCTTCCGACACGCAATGGACCCAGGGAGTCCACACACCCATCACAGTATAGAACATTTCTGTCTCCTTAGACAGTTCCTTTGCCTCCCTTCCAAGTTAGGCTCCTAGGCAGTTATGCTTTTCATTTTTATCCCCCACCTTAGATTAATTTCAACTGTTCCAGGACTTTCTAGAAATGGAACTATACAATATGTGCTTTTTTGTGTCCGGCTTGTTTTGTGCAACGTTATGTCTGCGAGGTTCACACATGTGGATCGGTAGCTTTGTTCTGTCTTATCGCTGAGTAACCTGGTCATATGAATATGCCACAGTTTTCTTTTTCTTTTTCTTTTTTCAGTTGGAGTCTTACTCAGGCTGGAGTACAGTGGCACCATCACAGCTCAGTGCAGCCTCAACCTCCCGGGTTCAGGCGAGTGGCTGGGACTACAGGCACATGCCACCATGCCCAGCTAATTTTTAAATTTTTTCTGTAGAGATGGGGTCTTGCTGTATTGCCCAGGCTAGTATTGTACTCCTGGGCTCAAGCGATCCTCCTGCCTTGGCCTCCCAAAGTGCTGGGATTACAGGAGTGAGCCACTGCACCTGGCCTCCACAGTTTCTTTATCCCTCTGCTGGCTGATGGATACTTGGCTTGTGTCCAGTGTTGGCCTGTTCTGAATATAACTACCAGAGACCCCTGAGTACGAGCCTTGGTGTACACATGTGTTTTTGTTTCTCCTGGGAACATACGTAGGTGTGGAATGCTGGATCGTATGTTGGTAGGTGCATGTTTAACTTTTTAGAAACCTGCCAGGTGTGGTGGCTCATGTCTGTTATCCCAGCACTTTGGGAGGCTGAGGTGAGAGGATTGCCAGAGTCCAGGAGTTTGAAACCAGCCTGAGCAACATGGTGAGACCTCATCTCTACAATAAATCAAAAAATAAGCCGGGCATGGTGGCGTACACCTGTAGTCCCAGCTACTTGGGAGGCTGAGGTGGAAGGCCTGAGCCCAGCAGGTCGGGGCTGTGGTGGCTGTGAGCGTGCACTGCACTCCAGCCTGGGCAACAGAGTGAGACTCTGACTCAAAAAAGAAAAATACATACACTCTCTAGAAACTTCTGTAGTCTTCCACAGTGGTTGGGCCGTTTTCCGCTCCCCAAGAGTGACTGAAAGTTCCAGTTGTTCCCTGTCCTCGCCAGCATGGAGGGCAGTCCATCTTTGTCATTTTTATTGCGGCTCTTTTTCAATGAGCTCATGTACAGATGGTCATGTACAGATGGAGTTTCTGGAAGGTTTTCTCTTGCTGGTCAGAGTGGTTTGGATGGTTGTTGTGTTCCAACACGAGTTATTTGTTTGCTTCGCTGTTTCTTTGTCTTCCCAGAATTCCTTTTCCACTGCGAGTGGGGGCGGGTGGAATGGCGGATTCCAGGGTTCCTGGAGGGTTCTTGGGAGGGAGGGACTGGGCTTGCCCTCGCGCCATCTCTGCTCATCTGAGCCGCGACTCTGGGTGGAGGAGTCTGGTCTCCCTTCAGGGTCTGATCCCGGCAGCCCCAGAAGCTGCTCCCTGATCTCAGACCCCTTTATGTGCCGGCCTCTGTGCCTCTGACCCTGGTGTAGCTGCTGCCCTGCCCACCGGGCCATGTGTCTGGGGTCCCAGCCCATCCGGGCCTCTCTGTCTCTCTGCTTCACAGATATTGGCCCAGTGACCCTCACGGCGGACCCAGAGGTGTTTCAGAGGGAGCTGAGAGAACTCTACGTGCAGGTGGGCAGTCCCCACCGCTGGCTGATGACCCTCTGTGAGACCAAAGTCTGAGCCCCCCCATGGACCAAGATGGTAGCTTCTTCCTCCCGCCACAGTTTGCATCTCCACTCTGCCTATGACTCCACCCCTGCTCGAGACCCTTGGAGAGCAGCATTTACTGGGTTTCTTTCCTTCTGTGAGCCAAGTACCCCTAGGAGTCCCTGTGCCTGGCCCTAAGAGCAGTTTATTGACCGGGCATGTTGGCTCACGCCTGTCATCCCAGCACTTTGGGAGGCCGAGGTGGGAGGATTGCTTGAGCCCAGGCATTCGAGACCAACCTGGGCAACATAGTGAGATCTTGTCTCTACAAAAATAAAAAATAAAAAAAAAATTAGCCGGGAGTGGTGGCGTGCACCTGTAGTCCCAGCTACTTGGGAGACTGAGGCAGGAGGATTGCCTGATCCAGGAGGTCGAGGCTGTGGTGAACTATGATTGCGCCACTGCACTCTAACCTGGGCAACAGTGTGAGACCTCGACTCGCAAAACAAAACAAAACAAAAAAGAGGACTTGGGGAGGAGTCTCACCCTCCTCCTCCCAGCCTCTCCTGCTCGCTCCATTGTGCTGTGGCCTACACGTGGCTTGTCTGGGCATTCCACCCCGCCCCCCAGCCTGTGAGATGTTCCGTGGCTCCCATCCCGCCTCCCGCTTGTAACACTCACCACAGTGGTAATTAAATACTTGTGTTGGGCTTGTTGGCAGTGTGTCTGCCTCCCAGGCTGGATCCCGTGCGGGCGGGCCCGTGTCACTCCTGCACGGGTGAGTGAATGATGCCACTTGTCTAAGTTACAGCAGAGCTGGGCACGGTGGCTCGTGTCTGTGATCCTAGCACTTTGGGAGGCAGAGACAGGAGGGCGGCTTGAGCCCAGGAGCTCGAGACCAGCCTGGGCAACTTGGCCACACCTCGTCTCTACCAAAAAAAAAAAAGATTAGCCAGGCATGGTGGTGCATGCCTGGAGTCCAAGCTACTGGGGAGGCTGAGGCAGGAGGATCGCCTGAGCCCAGGAGGTGGATCAGCGAGCCGTGATTGTGCTACTGTACTCCAACCCAGACAACAGTGAGACTCTGACCCAAAAACAGTGAGACCTACCTGGAGGCAGGTCTCAGCTGCCTCCAAAAAATAAAAATAAGAAGAAAAAAAATAAAATAAAGTTAGAGCAGGTCGGATGCCGCCCTGTGTCCCGGGGAAGGGAGAGGCTGAGGTCATGGGCTGCCCCTGGGTGGGCGGGACAGAGGCAGTTTGAGGGGAGTCCCAACTCCCGCTGGCTTCCGAGGTGTGCCCTGGTGGATCTCGTCTGGAGGAGGCGGGCGGCAGCCGCTGACATGCTCCTGCCCTCCAGGGTGGCGGTGACTGCCCAGAGATGAGCGTGGGGGCCATCAAAGCCGCAGTGGAGGTGGCCAACCCCGGCTCCTTCATCTACGTCTTCTCGGACGCCCGCGCCAAGGACTACCACAGAAAGGAGGAACTCTTGTGGCTCCTGCAGCTCAAACAGTCACAGGTGAGTGAGCTGGTGTGGGTATGGGAGCCGGCGAGGGGGAGCGAGAAGCTGGGGTCTCCCGCTCAGCAGCCCCGCATGCCCACCTGGAGAGCAGAGCCAGGTGCTTCTCGTCCACAGCCTCAGGTCCAGCCTCCACCAGCCACGGCTGCAGCCTCAGAACCAAGCTGTCTATGGCCGGGTGTGGTGGCTCACGCCTGTCATCCCAGCACTTTGGGAGGCCGAGGCAGGAGGATTGCTTGAGCCCGGGAGTTGGAGACCTGCCTGGGCAACATAGCGAGACCTCATCTCTACAAAAAAAAAATTAGCCAGGCATGGTAATGCGTGCCTGAAGTCCCAGCTACTTGGGAGGGTGAGGCAGGAGGATCCCCTGAGCCCAGGATGTGGAGGCTGCGATGAGCTGTGATCATGCCACTGCACTCCAGCCTGGGCAACAGAGTGAGACCTTGACTCAAAAAAGAAGCAGCATCTGGTGGGGGAGGCCAAGTGTGTTCTCAGGCTACAGGTCTCCCTGGCGAGGTGCATTCTTGATGGGGGCCACACCACCTGCTCCTCTCACACCTGTCAGAGCCGTGCAATCGCCTCCCTCTCACCAACACCTCTGTTCCTGGTCTCAGCTGCCTGCGCCCTCTTCCTGTCATCTCAGGGTTTGGAAGATGCATCTGGGCTTTTGCTTCTTACTTCTGCAGCAAGAGCTCGGGAAGGCATGTAGGCTTGGGAGGGGGGCCGGCGCGTTGGCGTCCTTGGGCGAGACTCAGGGGCTAGGACAGCTTCTCTGCTGACTTGTCTAGCACATACTTGGATTTTCCAAGGTTCTTTCAACTCTGCAGCCCCCAAGGACCACTCTGAGATGAGTCACTTTCCACACCCTTCTTTGTCATCGATTTCATAACAGCTCCCATTTATTGAGCACCTACTGTTTTCCTGGCTCTGTGCTGAGCACTTGTCCAGCACCTGATCCCTATGAGGTGGGTGTTCTTTTGGTTTTTTTTTGAGTTGGAGTCTCACTCTGTCGCCCAGGCTGGAGTGCAGTGGCACGCTCATGGCCACCACAGCCTCGACCTGCTGGGCTCAGGCAATCCTTCCGCCTCAGCCTTCCAAGTAGCTGGAACGACAGGCACATGCTACCACACCTGGCTAATTTTTGATTTATTGTAGAGACGAGGTTTCACCAAGTTGTCTGGGTAGGTCTCGAACCCAGGGACTCAGGCAGTCTTCTTGCCTCGACCTCCCAAAGTGCTGGAATTACAGGCAAGATGGGTACTCTTATGATTCCCATTCTAGAGCTGCCACCTGAGCTCAGAGAGAGGAAAGGGCTCTCCCAGGCCACTCCATCCTGGCTGGGACCCTGTCCTGCCACCTGCTGTCAGTGGCCGGGGATTTGGTGAGCCAGGCGTGTGTCTATCTTCCAGGTGGTCTTTGTGCTGACGGGGGACTGTGGAGACCGCACCCATCCTGGGTACCTGGCCTACGAGGAGATCGCAGCCACCAGCTCTGGGCAGGTGTTCCACCTGGACAAGCAGCAAGTGACCGAGGTGAGTGCCGGGGGGAGCACCTTCCCAGAGCCTGTTGCCCGTGCCTGGTGAGGATGTTGGCCATCTCTGCATCTCCCGGTGGCTTTGCTGGGTAGCTGAGTGGCGCTAAGCATTCACCCCGACAGGCGCAGGAAGCCCCGTGCCTGGACATGAGGACATCATCTCCCTGAACCCTTCCGCCCACCCCAAAGGCAGGGGCTTTGGGTTTTCCAGGCACAATTTTGCAGGCAAAGAGGCTGAGGCTTGAGGCGGTGCCCTGGTGTTGGGCCCGGTCCCACAGCAGGTCCAGGCTGGCAGGATGGACCCAGCAGAAGTGTGGTGTGGGGTGTTTTCCAAGCTCTCCTCTGAGTCAGGGAAATCGGGGTGGGCGAAAAAACAGGGGAGCCGTCCAGCTCAGGCTGTGACTCTGGGGTCTTGGCAGGGAGGGGCTTGCTGGCTCCATGGCCTGAAGGGCCGTGTCTGGATTCACTCAGAGCCCAGTGCCAACCAGGTGCCTGCCTCCCGGTCTGGCTCAGAGGCCAACGATCTGCTCTTCCTCTGTTCTGGGCGCTCCCTGCTTTCTCTCCACCCCACACATCCATCCCCTCCCAGCAGCCAGAGGCACCCTTCGAGTGTCAGGCTGTTGAATGATGAACAGCATCTCTCTAAAAAGGACAAGGGTACTCATTGCCATGGTGTAAGTACTTCCACCTGGGCTGATGCCAAGCTGCCATCATGAAGTCACTGAACAGAGTTGGGGAGCGACATGGGCATCTCCTGAGCCCTTGTGAGCGGCTCTGGGTATCCCTGGATCCTCCCAAGGCAAACCTCCAGCAGGTCACTCTCTGTCACACCTCGAGATGCCCAGACTCCTATCTGGTCCCTTATCTGGCCCCTCCACTCACCTTCCCTCCCTCCCTTCCCCCCTCTGTTGCCCAGGATAGATTGCAGTGGTGTGATCATAGCTCCCTGTAGCCTCAAACTCCTGGACTCAGGCTATCTTCCTTCCTCGGCCTCCTGAGTAACTGGGACTACAGGTGTGCCACCATGCCTGACTAATTTTTTATTATTATTATTATTATTATTATTATTTTGAATTGGAGTCTCACTCCGTGCCCAGGCTGGAGCACAGTGGCACGCTCACGGCCACCACAGCCTTGACCTGCTGGGGCTCAGGTGATCCTTCTGCCTCAGCCTTCCACATAGCTGGAACCACAGGCACATGCTACCACACCCAGCTAATTTTTTGATTTGCTATAGAGACGAGATCTCACCAAGTTGCCCAGGCTGATCTCGAACCCCTGGGCTCAGGCAATCCTCTTACCTTTGCCTCCCAAAGTGCTGGGATGATAGGCGTGAGCCACTGTGCCTGGCTAATTTTTAATTTTAATATTGTATGTTTGTAGAGACGGGGTCTCCCTACGTTGCCCAGGCAGGTTTCCAATTCTTCGCCTCAAGCAATCCTTTTGCCTCGGCCTCCCAGAGTTCTGGGATTATAGGCATGAGCCACCATGCCTAGTCAACACCCTGTGCCTTTCTGATCTCACTGCCCGTGCCCCCCTTGTTTACTACTTGCTGCCCTGTTGGCCTGTTTGCTGTCCCTTCAGTGTCCCGGGCTCCTCGTCACCCCAGGGCCTTTGTTCATGGGGCTTGTTCTTTAGCACCTCCTCCCCTGGCCCCTTCTCACCTATCCAGTCTCAGCTGAAACACCCTTCCTCACGGAGACCTTCTGGATTTCCTGTTAAGATGAAGTCTCCTTCCATGCCCTCTCCCAGGTCCCTGTGCCGCTTATACATAACTGTGATTTTGTGATTGTGTGATTGTTGGGTGTCACAGGCTGTGAGGTCCCAAGGGCTGGGCCATCGTGGGCCCTGATGGTCACCGTGAACCCAGCACCTTGCATTTCCCGGTGTGTAGCAGGTGTTGAGTAGATGGCCGGGGAGCGGAGGGACATCGGTTTCCGGACCCTGAGGCCCTGGGAAGAGGAAGGCGAGAGATGCAGCCTCTCTGAGGCCGGCTGTGGCCTCTAGCCAGTCCCGCTGCTGCCTCTGGGCAAGGGTTTCGTGTGTTGTATATTTATGAACCGAGGAGGACGGTCTCCAGGGCCGTGTTTAGATGAGCGTGCCTTACTCCCTGATGACAGATGGCGTTGACGGTTCCCTGCGACACATCAGGCTTCATTTTTTGGCACGTCCGCCTACCCTGGCACCAAGCCGTCTGAGTGGGGGTGGAGGGGGCCTTCAAGCGGAGGGACAGCTTGTGGCTTGCTTTCGGGAGGCCTCGCTGGGCAATTGCGCGGTTCCTGCCGGAGCAGGTCAGACTCAGGATAGCCAGGCCGCTTGGTGGGGGACGCCTGTCCAGGTGGGAGCAGGGTGGGCCCGCAGCTCCTGGCCGTGGTGCCCAGTTTTCTACCATGGGAGTCTGGCCGGGCAGCTGTGTCTGACTCGGTGGGACGCCCCCGGGTAGGAGCTGGATCCTCTCCTTCCTGGACTTGACTCGGAGCTCTGTCATTTCTTAGCTGAGTGCCTTGGACCTAGCCCCTTCCAGATGTTCCCAGACATTCGGCAAGCCTGAGAAGGTGGCCGGGGCAGCCAGGGCTGTGGTCATCCTCCCAGGAGGGACTAGCGGTGCCTTCGCCTGAGCCAAGGGGCCTCCAGCTGGGAGGACGCCTGTGAAGTTGCAAAAGTCTCCAGCCGTGCGTGTGTGGCTGATCCTTCCACCTTCTCTCTCTCTCTTTTTTTTTTTTTTTG